TATCTATATCTACATCTATATCTATATATATATATATAGGAATTATTGGCAAACCAATAAAGAATTTATTGCTTCCTGCACTTGAGACTTTATAATAAAGTAGATTAAATACTTTAGTTTGACGCGCAGGTAATTTCCCTGGAATTCTGATGACATATAGGTAACGTGTGGGAAAGCGGAGATGAGGGTCAGTATAGATAAAGAGCAGAATGTGCTGCCAATTCATCCTGCTCCTCGCTTCGACAAGGTCATCACAGATCAAATTTGAATTTTTTGACACTTCTTTGAACAGGTAACTATCTCTATATTTATTCTTATTAGAACTAATTTAGAATGTCTTTTGGCTTCCCCAATATTCTAATTTTGGGTCATTCTTTTGTCCGTCGCTTACGGGATGATTTAAAGGCTAATTTCAATTCCCGTGCATCCCAAAATTTCCATATTCCCGAATCGGGTTATGTCACTATGCTGGGTACAGGTGGCCGGACAGTTGAAAAAGTGATTCAATTCGATCTTTCTTCTGTCCGATCTGCCAAACCTGACATTATAATTCTCGAGTTGGGCACAAATGATTTAACTACACAATGCCCCTGAGGTAGTAGGATTGAGGCTTGAAGAGCTCGCTCGCCAACTTCGCGACGAATTTCACGTTCGCGTCATTGGGGTGTGCCAGGTGATTGACCGCAACATCGCCAAAACGCGGGAATCTGATAGTGTTTTTAACACCAATGCCGCTATTTTGCGCCAGTATTTGTCCGTAGTTCTTGCAGAGGAGCAGGGTATTTTTCTATGGGAACATACGTTGTGTGGTTTGTGATGTTTGTTGTGCTGATGTAGTTTTATGCATATATCGCTCGTTCATGCATATATCGCTCGTTCGTTCTGTGTAGGAAAAAATGCATGTCTAAGTGGGTAGGGCGTTTTACGTTTCTGGATGCCCACAGTTGAAGTCAATATATGTTGGGATGGTGCGGCATGTTGTTTTTAGATTGCCCAATCACTATTTCTATCCTCCGCACAATTTTGCAACAGACTTCTCTCATTGCATCTAGTGAATATCGCGCACTTTTATTTAGGGCAATGTGTACGACAGCCTTTTTTGCCTTTTTGCAGGTTGGCGAAATAACGACTTGCCCACGGTCTCCCGGCGGGCTTCAATTATCTCAAGTGGTTCAGCTTGTTGATAAAATGGGCAATATTTCCGGTTTGAAAATCAATTTTGCGAACTTTAAACATTCCTACAATCAACCTTGTGTTTCTCTTACACTTCACTGCCATTCCGATATTTGCCCTGTGCAGACATTACTCGACTATTTTGCGCGTCGCTGTTTATCCGATGGCCCACTTTTTCGCACTCTCGATGGGCGCGCAGTAACTCGCAGACTATTTACTGAGCATTTGGCTTTGATTTTTCGTGCATGTGGTCTTGACCCTACTAAGTATAAGGGGCACAGTTTTCGAATTGGTGCAGCTACTTTCGCTGCGGAATGCGGTTTTTCTGACGCTCAAATCAGAGTAATGGGTAGGTGGAAATCAGACGCATTCCGCAAGTACATTCTTAGTCCAAACTTATCTTCGCGACCTATTTCGCAAAATATGTCGACATGAGTCATTTATTGCCGTGCCTGGCGGGGGTTGACCTTGGCTGCACACTTCTTAGTTCGTACTTATTTTGTTATATCCCATATTAGTTGCAACTACGATAACTACGATGAGACTCATTGGTAATCGGGCGCAATGCTGATACAGGGGTAAAGCTAGCGCTCCTCTACCTCATCTCAATATTTTCATATTGGCGACTCCGGTTGCAGATACTCGGCCGGTCAATGCAGGGGCACGACTGGTTGGAGATCTGTACCTTTTTCTTGCTGCGATTCTTATATGTGGGTTTCTTATATGCATGTTTTATATATTATTTGTTTTGCTGATTTTACAAGTCTGTCTGTGGATACCTTGTCATGACGGGGTGGTGTTTGTCTCCTTTACCCAAGGAGCCTTGTGGCGTTTAAATTAGCCCCACCTTTTCTGTGCAAATTGTTTAGTAATTGAATTTATTGTTTGTTGATTAATAATTAATTTGTTGTTAAGTAAAAATTAATAAATCGGCATGTGCGTTAGACAATTACGCACATTGCCAAAATTATTCCAACTCTGTGTCTGAGTTGTTTTTGTACGAGATCTAGAACACAGAAAACAGAGCTCGTCATGACAAGGTATCTTTTAGATATGAAAGGAAGCGATAAAGGAATTATTGGCATACCAATAAAGAATTTATTGCTTCCTGCATTTGAGACTTTATAATTATAATAAAGTAGATTAAATACTTTAGTTTGACGCGCAGGTAATTTCCCTGGAATTCTGATGACATATAGGTAACGTGTGGGAAAGCGGAGATGAGGGTCAGTATAGATAAAGAGCAGAATGTGCTGCCAATTCATTCTGCTCCTCGCTTCGACAAGGTCATTACAGATCAAATTTGAACCCGCCCTCCTCCCCGTTTTCTCACGCGAGCTTAATGTAAAGGTATATTAGTATATCCGGTAGGGCGTTTAAATTAGTGCCACCTTTTCTGTGCAAATTGTTTAGTAATTGAATTTATTGTTTGTTGATTAATAATTAATTTGTTGTTAAGTAAAAATTAATAAATCGGTATGTGCGTTAGACAATTACGCACATTGCCAAAATTATTCCAACTCTGTGTCTGAGTTGTTTTTGTACGAGATCTAGAACACAGAAAACAGAGCTCGTCATGACAAGGTATCTTTTAGATATGAAAGGAAGCGATAAATATATATATATATATATATATATATATATATATATATATATATGTATAAATATAAATATGAATATATATATATGAATATATATATATATATATATATATATTATATATATATTATATTATATATATTATATATATTATATATATTATATATATATATATATATATATATATATATATATATATATATATAAAATATATATATATATATAGAGCAAAAAATGTACTAGTGAATGTTGTGAGCTAATGATTTTTCTTGCAATTGTGTTTTTTATATATTGTACTGCACGGCTATGTTTCCATATATATTGACAATGACAGTGAAGTGTTAAAATAAATAAAATAACAATCAATTACTCAATCATTATTAACACCTTATTTTAATACACTGTATTCAATAGGAAAAGCTATACCTGTCAACAATAATTGCTGAGCAGCTTGATCAATATTCCCACTTGAAAAACTTAATGCATCACATATATCTGATTCACTAGCATCAGGACAAAGTTCTTTCAACGTGTTTATATCATTTTCAGCAGCAGATGAAGGTTTTTGTTGTCCACTAGTACTTCCCCTTGGTAACAAATAGGGTAATTGTTGCTTTAGGTACTGTACAATGCACAAGCATTAGGATCAATGGACTATTGTGATATATATACTTTTTGTTATCATGTGTATGTATATATACAGTAATTATATGATAACAAAAAGTATATTTGATAACAAAAAGTATATTTTCTCTCTAAAAATCCAAAACACTTCAACCATACTTGTATTAATTCATGACTACGGTGATAAAACGAAACTTTAACAATAACAACCAACCATACTACACAAAGTACCCCCACGACCAAAACACAATTAAACCTCGGATGTCCACACACAACCATAATTGACACGTAAACCCCCACTATCCCCAAAACAGACTTTGACACCTGACCTCAGTGACGTAACATACTAACGCATTTTTTGCACACACATGTAATCCCTGACCCCTTTTCGATCAAGCCTGTTGAACGAACACAAGCTCTGCTCTAAGCAATTCCAAGCCGATTTCTAATAAATTTTCACTTGGTTTCATATCAACTCTGAGATGGCTCACAGCGTTGGTTTATCCAAGGTCAACAACAGCTTTGGTAAGACACACAGTTTAATTTTACCATTTCACCTTTTACGAATACACTTTCACGCAGGTTTGATTTTTTATGATTCTCCTATAAACACACACCACTTTTACTCACTTCTTATCTTCATGGTTCACACAAAGCCCACCCTGCTCCCCGCTGACGAGTCCGCAAAAGGATGAAATGCCGCGTACGGGAATACTGATTCGCACGCTTGCCTATCTTGCCTTCTGCTTGACTCTCTTACCTACCTCGTCACAACTCTTTGATTTAAACACTACCAACAACACCACACAACCTATTACTACACACGTAACTACATAGTTTCTTAAAGAACTCCACATACACAAACAAACACACCACATGGTTGGCGGTTGTCCAACAAATTTCTAACTACCCTATCTGGTTATCTTTATTTCTATTTCTACACCTCTTAATCCGCAATTAACTATTCAACAAATTACTTATTATGTTCCCCTTTTGCCCACATATACACAACGTCCTAACCTTTTTCTCTAGTTTGTTTAATTCAGACAATTGTTACAAATTCTATACGTCATCAGTCCACGTCACTACGGAGTACCATGAGAAGCACGCGCGCTTGCTTTCCTAGCCATTGTACGCATAGTTTTCTTAGCCGCAACATTAAGTCCACATTGGAAGAAACTTGGTTTCACAAAACATACCGTTCTATCAGTCGCTGTTTGTTCACACATTGTTAAAGATATTTACAAGGTCTTCACAGTCTACTACTATTGAATATATCGTTTGGTTACGTGAGTACCGTAGTTTTACTATAGGATTGTTCTTATAGCATTTGTTTGTTCCTTTATATTCAGATATTTAGTATTCATTCGTTTGTAATGGCTTCAAGCAGTAAACAATTAATATCTGGTAGCCCACGTCAACCTGACGTTTCTAACGCGAGCCAAACTGGCAAGGAAGACAGTCAACCTGACCAGTCCGCAATGGATAGTCTTCGAAACGAGTCCGACCAACCTGGCCACCATGATGGTCGACCCGACCACCTTTCTCAACCTGAGTTAGACTTGGGCCAAACACTAACTGCAATAAATAGCAGCATTAGCACAATGGCTACGGTTTTACAAAAGCTAGTCGATTCTGGAATCCCTAAACGAGGAAAAAGGGGTAAGAAACGCAGTAAGCGCACCGTGTCATCAGACTCTGAGAGCGAAGATTCTGACTATTCAGCCAAACGTACACGGGATGACGACGACGCAATCAGTATAAGTGCGTCGGATAACGACATCCAAGCCCTTCTGGATGGGTCACTCGCCACCGGCGATAACACGGCCAATGTTCCCAATACCTCAGGCAATACTGCGCCAGGAAACCAACCGATTTTGGATCAGTCTGAAATAGAACTACTAGAGTCTCTTAATAGTGCCCTCAACGAGGAAGAACAGACAGGACCTAAGATTGTCCAAAATCTGGCTGACATAGCCATTACACGATGGGGTAAAACAATTACCACCGAAAAATTTAAAATTCTGTTGTCAAAACATGACAAACCAGAAAATTGCGCAGAGTTAACCGTACCCAAAGTTAACCCAGAAATTTGGACCGCTCTAAATAATTCTAAGAAGAGCGCAGATTTGCGTTTGGGAAACATACAGCAAACTATTCAAAAAGCCACTTTTGGCATGCTTAAGACATGTGACACACTGCTATCAACGCCCACTGATACAAAAACTGCGCTCTCGCATGCTATCGATGCTGTAGCCCTTATGGGTCACTCGGTAGGTGTACTGTCTCGAATTCGAAGGGACCAAATTAGACCGGCTCTAAAGCCAGAATTTTACAGCCTTTGTAATAAGGCAAACGAACCAGAAAGTTCATCTAGTGCCATGCTTTTTGGCGACGATTTAGCAAAACAAGTGTGTGACGCTAAAGAAACCAATACAATTAGTCAGTCAATTGGGGCTAACCGCAATTGCACATTTTGAAACTACCGTCCAACAAATCGCCCAGATAAGCGGTTTTCAAATTCCCGCTCCCAGAGGGGCGGTCACTCTGACTATCGCACTGAAAACAACAAACCTTATTTTTTGGGGAAGGGCCAGAAAAAACCAACATTCCGAGCCAAAATCGGCAGGAAATCCTAAATACTCTCGAAAAGATTAAATCATCGGTAAGTGAATTTCCTCTTATTGGCGACACACTGAAAAACTACCTCCAATGTCGATGTAATACCTTTAAAGCTGGCAATACTAGAAACTCTATTACTGCCTGGCAAAACATTACTTCTGACACAGAAATCCTGAGAACGGTGGCAGGGGGCACAATTGAATTTGATAATTCGCCCACTAACATTTCGAACCCAAAAATTCCGTTCTCGCCAGAAGAATCTGACATAATTGATCAGGAAATTGCAAAATTGCTAGCCAAAGGTATTATCGAAGTAACTAATCATAGTTTAGGGGAGGTAGTGTCAAATATTTTCATCCGCCCGAAAAAGGACGGTAGCCACAGGTTGATCTTAAACTTAAAAGGTCTTAATCAGTTTGTTACTTATCATCATTTTAAAATGGATACTTTGAACTCGATACTAAAATTAATAGAGCGAAATTGTTTTATGGCCTCTCTTGACATTAAAGATGCATACTATTCAGTAGCTGTCAATCAATCTGATCGCAAATATCTGCGGTTTTACTGGCAGGGAGTTTTATATCAATATACATGCTTGCCAAATGGCCTTTCTAGTTGCCCTAGGACGTTCACCAAGTTGCTTAAACCCCCATTAACAGTGCTCCACAAACTTGGTCACATTATTGCCAGTTACATTGACGATCTTTTCCTACAGGGAAAAACGTATGAACAATGCGTGTCTAATGTTATTGATACACTATTGCAATTTGACGCTCTGGGATTTATAATTCACCCAGATAAATCAGCTTTCATACCTTCACAAGAACTGCTTTTATTAGGTTTTATAATTAACTCTGTTGAAATGACCATTACCCTCACACCTGAGAAAAAGGTCGCACTAAAGCAGCTTTGTCTCGCTTTGATATCTAAACATATGCCCACAATTAGAGAGGTTGCTCAAGTTATTGGTAAGATAATCTCGTCATTTCCGGGCGTGGCACACGGCCCATTATATTACAGAGCATTAGATCGTAATAAAACTGAAGCTCTTCAATTGTGCAAAGGTAATTTTGATAAACGCATGACATTATCAAAAGAGTCAAAGCTTGAGCTTCGGTGGTGGGCACAAAATATTCTTGAGTCACAAAATGTAATTTCCCGGGGCCAACCGTCCCATATTCTTACAACAGATGCCTCCCTCACTGGGTGGGGGGCGGTTTACGAAGGCAGCAGTACTGGTGGTTTTTGGGCTGATGAAGAAAAAATACATCACATTAACTACCTCGAGCTACTAGCGCTGTTTTTAGGGTTACAGATGTATTGTAAAACTTTACAAGGCACACATATTCGGGTGTATCTTGATAACAAAACAGCTATAGCTGTAATAAACCACATGGGCACAAGCCATTCGCCACAAAGTAACACACTAGGTAAAACTATCTGGGAATGGTGTATCTTCAGAAATATCTGGCTTAGTGCTGCCCATATTCCAGGGGTTGACAATACTATAGCTGATTCAGAATCACGCAGCACTGATTCGCATACCGAATGGATGCTTGACAGCTCAACTCTTAAAAGTGTATTGCCTCAATTTACCTTCAACCCCAATATCGATATTTTCGCAACGCGACTCAATGCACAGTTTCCAACTTATGTGTCTTACCGACCTGACCCAGGTGCATTCGCTATAGATGCTTTCTCATTAAACTTGTCTCATTTGCAGTTTTATGCTTTCCCTCCCTTTAGTGTAATCGCAACATTGTTGCAAAAAATTCAGGAGGAAAAAGCGACAGGGATAGTAGTTTTACCGGACTGGCCAACACAATCTTGGTACGCCAAGGCAATGCAAATGTGCCGTCAACCCCCGGTACGTCTAGCTCCGGGGAAACAGCTGTTACAATTGCCAGGTCAACCGCAGGAAATTCATCCACTGCACAAAACTCTGGCTCTTCTAGTTTGTCACTTATCCGGCAACAACTAACAGAGCAAGGCTTATCAGCTGAAACGGTAAATATAATAATGGCGTCATGGCGACAGACAACCGGAAAACAATATCAGTGCTACCTTTTAAAATGGATAAGTTTTTGCCAAGAAAATCGAATTAATATTGAACAGGCTGATATTAATGATGGTCTAAAATTCCTCACATTTTTATACAATCAAGGCGTAGGTTACAGTGCTATTAACACAGCTCGGTCAGCACTATCTGCAGTAATCACGTTGGGTAGTCATCGAACCTTTGGTGAACACCCTTTAGTTACTCGGTTTCTCAAAGGCGTTTTTGAACTTAAACCATCCTTACCTAGATATTCTGTAGTATGGGACGTGGGCGTAGTTCTTAAATATCTGCAGTCAATGCCCTCTCTGGAGAATATGACTTTAGCAATGCTAACAAAAAAGTTAACCACGTTATTAGCACTTCTAACTGCCCAGCGATGCCAAACATTAAAGAGCCTAGACCTAGACTTCATGCAAGAAGCCGACAATCAGTTTGTGTTTACAATAATGGAAAAACTTAAAACAACCCGAGCAGGGAAACACATTCCACCAATCAAAATATTGAGTTACCCACACGATATTCGTCTGTGTCCTGTAGCACATTTAAAATGTTACATCACGAAAACAAAAACATTACGACGTCATTCAACACTTTTATTAAGTTACGTCAAGCCACATAAACCGGTGACCAATTCCACTATCGGTAGATGGGTCAAAAGCATTCTTCAAGAATCGGGCATCGACAAAATGTTTTCAGCACACAGTAGTCGAACAGCATCATCGTCATACGGAATTTTGTTGGGCCTGCCATTGAAAGATGTTCTGAAAGCTGGCGGATGGTCAAATGCAGAAACATTTGCCAAACATTATAATAAACCTATCGAATCTAATTTTGGGAACAGTATACTTAACCATTTTATTAATACAGACACCGATGATTGATGCAATTAAATAAATAGGGAACTGTTATGTGTTACATAAAGCGTATAGCTTTACATCATATTTTCAACTTAATATATTTTCTTATAATATACCCCAGATGCTGTCTGATGATTCTGACCAAACTGGGTCTTACACCTACTTCGGCAACTTACTATCACTCACAGCTTTAAAGTCTCATGGTACTCCGTAGTGACGTGGACTGATGACGTATAGAATTCGAAAATTAAACGAGACTTACCTGTAAGTTGAAGTTTGATTTGAATTCTATTACGTCATCAGTCCGGAACGAAGGAGTAACATGCCCTCCCGTGGAGATTTATCCCTCCCTATACTCCTTCGTTCCTATGTGAGTGTCAGTAAGTTTAGGACTTTAAAATATGGCTAGGAAAGCAAGCGCGCGTGCTTCTCATGTTACTCCTTCGTTCCGGACTGATGACGTAATAGAATTCAAATCAAACTTCAACTTACAGGTAAGTCTCGTTTAATTTTCGAATTAACTTATAACTATATAAGAACTACAATATGGTTCCAATTACCTATGTGAAAATATAAAATAAACACTGTGTATGTATATATACAGTAATTATATGATAACAAAAAGTATATTTGAGCATGATTATACTTATTATCAACCACATCTTCTAAAGTTATTTGTCTGAACTGCAAAGGATAATTAAGTCATTAGTGTAAAAAAATATTTTCACTATATATAAACAACATGAATCCAATACAGAATTTTACACTGACCTTTTCGCTTAAACAAACAGTTGAGGAATGATATTCTTCTTGATGATGATGCATGCCATTCATCTGAACAATTTCCCCCAATATGAAGCAACTGATTTTTGGCACAACCAATTTATCTTAAGCCTTAAAATTATTAATAAGAAATAAATGAATTAATTAAAAAATTAATTATACTAATTATATTGGTTTCATTCAAATTAGTTTGTATTTTCAAATTGCTTTGATTCAAACCAGACATTAGACAATTAATGTAAACAATGGTATGTTACTAATTTAGTTTTAAAATAGCTACAAAAATACAATCAAACTCATATCTATAAACCATTCATGTCAGTAAATATAAAAAGAACCTTTATCCCAGTGAATCTGTTCAGAGAGATCAAGATCTAGAGGGTCTTAATAATAGCAATAAATCTGGGAAAATCCTAGTAATATAAACACAGAAATAGACAACTCTGATTGGCCAATTCTGTCCTTAACTACATTTAAAAGTTAACTAGATTACAGACTCCAGATTACAAAATAATTAACTGCTAATTGTGCATATTATACTACACGCCTTAGGCATTTCAGTGTCATCTTTAAGATTTAAATCTTTTTGGAGCGGCCTAATATAAATTTTAGACTGTCCACATAGGTCTTTGAGATGACTAGGGGTACGTGGTGGATCAATGATACGAAATCCACTGCGCTCGCCACCTCCTCTCTGGTATAACAGCATGTCAAAACCACCAGCAGTGCCAAGTAGTGAGTATTTTTCTAAAACCCTGTCATAAACTGGCATCCCATCTTGTGACAATTAGATGCTACAGTCTCCAAGACCAGCGTTAGATAGGATGGTATGTTCTTTCACAGTTGTCGGTGGATGCCCCGCTTGCTTTGAGGTCAAACAACAAAATTTTAGGGTACATGATGACACCTTTTTAGCTTAAGCTGATTTTTGGTTTGGAACAAGAGCTTGATGGTCTCTTGCCAAAATTAAAAAGTCTCCATTGCTCTACACACACAGATACTGGAGATGAACTGTGACTCTACTGGATGGCCCAGCTGTCCTGTTATTCCTGCTATTCATTGTTCCCAGCTCACTTGAGGCATCAAGTTGGTCAGCAGGTGCATCTATAAAACATGAAAAGCACTCTTCACTCTTGGGTAAAAAAAATGCTAAAACATC